TGTTGTATTGGAGAAATAACAAGCCTTAGCAACCATCCACCCACGCTCCTTTACGTGAGTGGGTGTGGTCACGGCAAACAAAATGGCGGCTTACACATGGGACAAAGTTAAGAGCTTTCCAACAGCAAGAGAGCATAGAGATACTGTCTAAAGACTTCTCTAGAAGCATTATAAGGTAGAGAGAACCTCTATAAGTCTTAATAATGACAAAGTTGTACTTGCAAGGTGTGAAATCAATTATAGGAATATTCTTTACACTGTTACGCTTGTTATAAGAGATGTTTGTCAAAAGTAAGCTAGGTTATATAATGAAAGACGAGCAAGTAGTAGCAGTGAAGGCAATTCTGGAAGGAAAGGATATCTTTGTGGTGCTTCCTGCAGGCTATGGAAAGTCCCTGTGTTACATGGTTCTCCCTTTTTGTTTGATGCAATTTTGTCAGAGAAAGGATCTATCATAGGGTTACATCTTTTCCGGCTTTGAATCATTAGTGACATCTTTGCCACATCCAATGCAAAGGAGAGTGCTCATGGTTTCTTTACAAACACGTGTATGGGTGGAGTTGTAATTATAATAAATGAGCCCCACCCATACTAGCTGCTGCTGCAGCAGCCACACCCCAGAACAAAAGTAATGACCGTGTGCGTCCTGACTCTCCGTTTTTCGCGAGGGTCAGGCCCCGCCTGACTAGGGAACAGCCAGGTCAAGAATCTCTTATCTCAAGAATTATAAACACTACTATAGCGGCCTTGTTACCAGTAGGTAAAGGACAAGGTATATGCAAGAGAAGCTAAATTTTAAGACTGTAAAAATTTTCGTACACTATGAGAAGACGAAAATATTTCCACTTGAATTTTTCTGAAACGAAAATTTTTTTGTACGAAAAAAAAGTAAATTACGGTATATATGGTAATTATTTGTATGTCCACACTTAAGGCCGATTCACACTGCAAAATTAACGTGAGGTAAGGCTATACGTTAAGACAGGAAGTGCTGTATAAACCAATGGCCACCGTTTACGCAAGGTATTACTTTGCGTAAACGGTACTAGTATTTCATTTACTCTATTATCTATGACCTTATGAACCGAAATACCCAAAGTGGTGGTAAAATGGCAGATTTTTGGAGGGAAAGATTAAACTAAGGTTATAGGGCGTAGCTAACTTGTGATACATATCTTTGCTGCCTCACTCACGCCATGTCCACTGAAAGAGAAGAAGTGATGGGTCTATTACTAGGAGAAGTGAGAGGAAGACCCTCCATTATTATTAGTATAGTCTGTCCGTATGTATTGCAGATAATAGAAGAAGGAGAAGTTGCTGTAGTTCAAGTGTTTTCACTGTACATGATGAGGAGACTTGATAAACAACCTGACAGAGTAGAGATATCCCCAGAGCAGCTGTCATCAGGAGCCATTGAAGCTGAGGCCTTGAGTGAGAGGATGAATAGGACAGTACAAGTGGTGGGTTGGTATCACAGTCACCCTCATATTACTGTATGGCCTTCACATGTAGGTATGGTAGGAGGGGCAAGGGGTGGGGCTAATAGTAGTAATGTATAATAGTGTTTAATTGGTTTAATGGATTTATTATTGTCTAAACATAATGTGTACTTGTTAAATAATTGAAGTTTTTCAGTTAGCAAAAAGTGTGTTCATTATAATTTGGCTTAAGATACAGTACAGGGTATTTCATCAAAAATAAAAAGTAGAGAATTTTCCATTTTTATTAGATTTTGTGATGCATATAAATGTTCTTACATTGCATAGAAAGTTTGAGCTAAATCCAATCAAAATTGCATTTTTTTATGAATTTTTAAAGTTACTCCGAAATCAGGCAAAAGTCCCTGTACTATTGTACAGGGCACGGTCCAAATTTTGCTAAAAATGAAAAGTTGAGAATTCTCAATTTTTATTACATTTCCTGATACATATACATGTTCTTATGTTGTGTAGAAAGTTTGAGCTGATTCTGATAAAAATTGAATTTTTTGTGAATTTTTAAAGTTGCTTTGAAATCGGATAAAAGTCCCTGTACTATAGTACAGGGCCACTGTCCAAATTTTGCCAAAAATGAAAAGTTGAGAATTCTCACTTTTTATTACGTTTCTTGATACATATGCATGTTCTTATGTTGTGTAGAAAGTTTGAGCTGATTCTGATAAAAATTGGATTTTTTTACGAATTTTTAAAGTTGCAAAAACCAGCCCAAAAAACCTGTATCACATGTATTGATCTACTACATTTACATGTACATGTATTTACATGTATTATTATTATTATTATTATTATGTAATGTACATGTACATTACATGTTTTCAGATGTTCGTACTCAGGCTAATTACCAGTTGATGGGTCGTCATTTTGTTGGTCTCATTTTCTCGTGTTTTGAAGAAATTGATAAAGTAAGTAACCACACCCACTTTAATTAACCACCATCGCCTCCGCCCACACACAGAAATGCTCCACTAAAGTTATCTGTTTTCAATCAATTCCAAAACTAAACGATCCTTTAAAGTAAGCCCCGCCCTTAATAATAGACCACACCCATTTCTCCACCCACTAGTTATGAACATGTTACATTAGAGTGTAAGGTGGTCCCTACAGTACAGGGTACAGTTAGTCCTATGGCTTCATCTGGCCTCATTAGATTATTAAATATATTAATTGAAGAAGAGAAACATTCATATGAGAACAACCAGAAGTAGGTTTTATGATTATTATACCGTACAAGAAGATTTATTTGTGGGAGTAATGTTCGGAAAATTTGCTTGTGGAAAGAAATTGATGGATTTTATATTGGCGATTTTGTGCCACGTGCCATCGAACATGCTCTGATTGAAACAAAATGGTGGATTTTATATTGGCGATTTTTTCATGGAACCACCAATTGCCAATATTAATTCCTCACCAATAAATCATCTTGTACAGTAATTAACCTAAAAATAAGAAAATTAAAATTTTAAGTAAATTTTAATTTCCCTTTTAGGTTCAGTAATGATGAGTTAACACTGTTGCATAACGGAGCAGGTAATTAATTAATTATTAATTAATTAACTAATTAATTGTTATTATTAGTTTATGTGCAAAGTCTGTCTCAATTACTTCAAGTGATTGGAGCTCCTTTATTGCAGTTATTACAGGAATTATTAATTAATAATAATAATGTTATTAATAAGTTAGAGAAAGAGAGAGATAGACTCTTAGTATCACTAAGCACTGAGGGAGAGTCTGTCTAATTATTATTATTATTATTATTATTATTATTATTATTATTGTCATTTTTATTATTAATGTCACTTTTTATTACGACTTGCTCTTAGGTGATTAATAATAATTATTGTCTCACTACTGCTCTGTGTATTACATTTCCATGTATGGGTCTGGTAATTTTAGAAGAAGTATCTTTAATATGTGGTATGCCTAGCCTGTGATTTTATATTGGTGGTAACATGTTGCTTAAAACATGAAAGTAAAGTAATCTTAGGTGAACTGTAGTAGCATTGACTTTTGTATGGTAGCTAAGGAAAGTAGGATTTTCACTTACAGCAAAAATTAAAAAAAAATTATAACAGCATTACCAATAGTTCTATGCTCAAACTGATGTCTCTTCGTATTACACTTTTTTTATCTTTTTCAAATTTGAACCAAGTATGATCCCATCACTTGTGGCTCCATTAAATTTCCAGCATATCCTATTGTATTATATTAGTCCAATTCACCATACAGTTTATGTATGCACTTACCAGCAATCATCGCTCACAATACTTGTTAGAAAATCATAGTAGAAACTTTTACCATCGAGATGACAATAAGATGAAAGGCATTCGACTTCAACTTTGACAAGATGCTTCCATAACGAACCATCACTTTGAGGTGATGGTTGTGTGGTTTGGAAACAATATAGGGAGCAAAAGTCTACCTTATTGATAGTGAAAGCATAGTTGTACCCAGACTATAGCAAAACAATGTACATTAATGATGATACAATAATGTGTTTATTGTCATACCATACTAGGGGTAGCTTTAGAAGCCACTTGCAAGAACTGTTCCTTTAAATCACTCACAGAAGGTAACTTGCCATCTTTGAAGGCAGCTGGATCAGAATAGGTTATATTAATTAGTACACATTCATCTGTTGTTAAAGGACCTTTAACTAGTTTGAATTCCCATAGTCGTAGCCGCAGTCCTTTGATTTGAGACTGAATTTTCCCCCAACTACCACAAGTTACTTCAACATTGTAGTATTGTCCATCTTGACTGACATGTATTTTTGATACCTCAATGTCAAACTGCTCCAATGCCTTACAAACACAAGTAATACTTGTGTTTGATGGATTCCTAGGCTTTATCTGGATCACTTCCATTTAGGCCACGTTTACACTACTCCGCTCCACTGAATCCGAATAGGTTTGCTATTACTGTTTTCAGGTGTTTACACTAGTCCAGCAGCTGCGTTTTCATTGGAACATACAGGGCCGTAGCCAGGAACTTGAAACAGGGGTGGTCACTATTTTACGGGACGGGACGGGACAAACGGGACAGGATACGCAGAAATAACCTATTTTGCGGGACAAGTAGGCATAGATACTAACGGAACCAGCTCAAAATGCCTGTAATTTTTCCTTTAAACTATAACTATATTTCAGAACCCAATTATGTCTGAAATTTACACAAACTGTAAGCAACCATTATTCTACAATAATCAAGTTATTCATTAATAATTATTATTATCCACTCTTAATTGTTATCATCAAGTTTATCATTGCACTGTATTATAGTCTCTTTTCCCTGAAAAGTAGAATTTTTCGCATCTTCATAAGAAATGCAATTGTATTTAGCAATACCATGCAGATGATTAATATCTATAGTGTATGACAAATTTCATATTGGATGACTACTGACTGGCTGAATATCAGTGAATCAATACCTCGAAATAATAAAGGTCAAAACTGAGCAATGCCAAAGCAGAAAGCACTTGGGACATCTTTATGCTTATCATTAACGTGGATTTCAACCAAATCTATTATTTTCCTATGACATTTCAAAACAATTATGATCATAAATTGCTTAGTTCATTACACTAAAAAGAAATCACATATTTTATAGGTGTTGTTGTTTCTTACTTCTGTTTAATATCAAAGAATCTAATACTGGTAGTTATTATTGCTGTTTTCTATGATTATAATAATAATAATAATAATGCCTGCGAATTATGGTCCCGGATTTTAGGCTACGCAGGGCTACGGGACGGGACGTCCCGTCCTGTTCCGTAAAATAGTGACCACCTGAAACGGGGGGTTCGGAAATAGTCTCGCGTAGCCAGACCACACCCTCCGTGCCTACGGGTACGGGTGGGTCTGGCAAATTGACCATACTCCGCTCGTTCTGGTTCACCCAAAAATGGGTGAAGTGGATGCATCAAGTGAATGCTTGCTTCTTTATGGCAGGGAGCTCAAGAGCAGGACCTAAAAGGCAAAAGGCTTCTTTTACTTGATAGATATGGTGATCTTTCGGAAGAGAGCTTTGGTAGCCCTTTAATTGGCATAGATCAAGCGGGCCGTGAAAGGGAGAAGATGTATAATTTGTCACAGCTGTTCCTCTAGCTTTTGTCACTTAAGAAGAAGGTAGTGAAGAGAAGAGTCAAGAGTTACTGTATCAATCAC